GTCTGACCGCTAGATGTCGCTGAAAATTACACACTGTAGCTTTAAATCTATTGAAGATCAGACTAGTAGCTAGATGGCGTTGTAGTAACAGGGCTGAGTGTCTATTGAGACATAACTTCATACAGTAGCCTAATTCCTAGTATTCATATTATGTCTGAATGAAATGTTTGAATATCAACAAACACATATGACAAAAAAATTATGTAAAACTTTTTTTAATCTGTTAAACCAGATTTGTAAATTGGTCATTCTGATGGTGAGAAAAAAAAGCTTTTTTATGGGGTTCTTGAAATCCACTCTGTATTTTAAATAAATTGTAAAAATCAATCACTTTTAATACAGCTATGGTTATATTTTTCATCAGGGCAGTTACATGTTATGTAACGTACAACCAAACATTTAGTTCGGCCCATGGCGATAGCTGAGAGAGCCACGCCACCAAGATAAATCCCATCTAGGGATAACTCCTCAAGATAAGAGTCACAGGAATCCTCTGCTACTGATTTGGAAATGTAAGAATTGAGGCAAAAAAAAACAAATAAACTGTGATACAGCAATCTCAATTGGGCAACTTAGTTATACCTGTAAACACTATAAAGCACAGTTCTCACATTGCTTATGGATTTATCTTTAGGGAGAGCACATTTTTCAATGTATTTAAACATTTGCCATTTTCTGACTTGTAATTTGACTGACATCCAATGAAAAAAGTAAAATAAATAAGGGTTCCACGGCAGCGAATTGAACAAAAGCAAACAATAAATCCCATCAAACTGAAAGACAAGATTTAAACAAGTAAGATATTAAAACCAAAGACTATGAAAATATATAGATAGAACCCAGTTTTCTGCTGCCAAATTAAAAAATATTAACCTTTAAATTGAAAAAAAAAAACAACTTAACAACTTATTTTACGGATGTTTTATTCCAAAATTTGAGCACTTTTATTATAAAAGTAACATTTAAAAAAGATTCCCCAGTTAAGCTTTTTAATAGTAAAAAGACATATTCCATTTTCAACAGAGCTACAAATACTAAAGGATTCTAAGTTTGGTTACAAAAGTTTATCACTAAGAAACAAAAAAACAAAACAAAACAAAACAAAAAAAAAAACGGCTCCATCAGAGGATTCTTTCAATGTCACCAGCAGGAACCACAGGATTTATTTGGGTCAGAGCTGCACTTCTGAATCTGAGACCTATGACAGAAAATTCAGTAAGACAGTAAGACAGCAAGGCATATAGACATTCAGTCAGTCTCTAATCATATTTTACTCACTTCTGCACTTCCAAACAGCTGTAGATGATCCCTTTATCCAGCATGTTCTGCAAGTCTTGTAAAGATTTGTTTGTGCAGTTCGTCCTGCAAACATACAAATAGGATAATTTTTTATTTTTATTTTTTTATTTTTCCATCATTCAGTCACGATACTTAATATAATGTTAAACCCAAGAACTGCAGTATATTAGATAAAAGATAAAATCTTACACTGAATTCATCTCAGTGACCAGGACAATATCCAGTTTTTTCACTTTGGAGGACTTAAATCTCTTCACCTCAATGCTGGCAAAAATGCTGGGATAAAAAACAAAAGAGGATAAATTATTTCCAATAATAAGTTTTTATAGCACAGATTAAAAGCGAACATCTACCCTTAGAATGCAATAGCAGATTGGATTCTAGCTGATAAATGATAATAAAAAAAATATTATACTTGGAAACAAGCAGTGAACTGTCTTTTAGCTGTTAGGAATACAGTTTGTGTGGATCGTTTGTGTGTCTCTTCTCTCTCCACCACCAGGTGGTGCCCTGTCCTCGTTGGTCCTCCCTGCACACCTGCAGCTCGTTGGTTCATTACTGGAGGAGTATTTGAGCAGTGGACTGTCACTACCTCGATGCAAGAGTCTTTGTCAGTTTTGGATACTCTAGCCAAGCTGAGATTAGCTTTGCTCTTTGGCAGGAAGTCTTCCTGTGTAACTGGATACCTGGACCTGCTCCCCCTGGGATTTACTGAGTACACACTGAGCAGGGGAAAACCTCCAAGTGACAGTCCGCTCCATTACTCCTCCGGGTCCAACGTATGTCTACCTATCCATCTACTTTAGAACTGATATCTTTATGTTACTCATTGAGGCCTGGTGGGGTGGGGTGGTGCAGACTAAGGCTTTTCCTGTAAATTAAATGGAAATGCATTTTTTATTTTATTTGATATTTTCATTGATAACCCTTAACATTTACGGTTTTGTTAGGCGGGGATGGAGGTGAAAAGATAGCATCTTCAGTTGGATCAATATTTGCTCAAAAGCTCAACAGCTGCTGATTGCAATGCAGACTTGGTCTATCACGATGACACATTTTGCTGGACGATTAGTTGTCCCCAAAATCATTGAGAAAAACAAAATTATTGTTTGGAGATAATTTTAAAATAATATAACATTGATTAAAACATAATGCAAATGCATCTTATTGAAGAGAGGAAAAACTTTAATTTCAAAAGAACACATAACACTCAAACTGCAAACAAAAATACAATGTTCTCCAAATCATCATCGGCAAAAATTGCACCTGAATAAAAGCTAAACACAACAAACCTAACTCGAAATAAAAAATACATCTCAACCAAAACAGTGGCTTATAAATTCTATAAATTAAGTTGCACTTTAAAAATACCCTAATGACCTTATCTGATATGGCAGAGTAAAGTGGAATGTCTTAGATCTCCTCATTAATACCGTGGTAGTATTGCAGAATGTGATATGTATGCATTCCCAAGGTTTTTGTACCGGCTGTTTAACATTTGCAAATTTTTTTGAAATACAAGCTTTTCAGAAATGTTAAAGGGAAGCACCTATTTAGCAATTAAGTGAACTTTGCTGTCTGTTGAGTTGCACCATTTTACACTTTCCTTTTTGTATGTCATCTTCTACGGAGGACCAGGAGAGTTGCTAAAAAAAAAAAACAACCCTTCCCAATTGAACATGTAAATCAGATAATTAAAAATGCAATTTGAAAGGCAGTTTTCAATCATACATTTTAAGTTGAACTATTACAGAGGAATGCTAAATTGTACTATGTAAAAAATGTACTAATGTATTATTACAGTGACTATTACAATTCGAAAAATTCTTAAATCATATTTCCTATTTCAAAATGGAGAATTCAAAAACCACATTTCATCAATCTGATCATAAATACCTTTTCTAATCACACATTTAAAATGGTAATATTTATTCCATCTTCTTTTTCACCTTCCATTTTCAAATCCTTTTTGCAGTAGCTAAAAACCAGTTAAACCAATCAGTGGTTAGGGAAGAGCACAAAAATTAAGGCCTGAACACACTGGTTATGTATGAATTAACAGACTTCCCAAGTTCCAAAAACTCACTTCAGGGAGTCACTTATTGAAACAACCCACCTACCAAACATCAGGATGTGACCCAGCATGGATGAGGACAGCTAGGAGTAATTTAAAGCACTTTTTAGAAAAGGCAAAGAAGAAAGACAGCTTTCAAAATCATCATCTGACATTTTTTAGGTATGAAAAGTAGGACATATCCGGGAAAAAGAGGAAATCTGGTCACCCTACCATATTAACAATTTTAATGTTTCAGTGAGTGAAACGCTATGATGCGTCTTTGCTCAGCAGCTTTGTTTGTTGTAAACCAACCAATCAGCACACAGTTAATCTAAATATTCATTAGCATACCATAAAAGGAAGAAAATCTGTCGTTTTATTCTAGGGCTTTCAACCAGACTTGCATTAGGGCTCATAGAACAGCAAATATGCCATTTCAAGCTCAACCAATGTTACACACCCTATTCAAAGACCTTAAGAACCAGCGCAAAATACCCTATATGTTTATATATAATTTGGATGTCCTTTGTTACACAATAAGTCATCCTAAAAGAGATAATCCGTGTCCTGAGAATGTCAGACTCACCTTTTTGGGTCGAACGGTGTGGGAATGGAAGCGTTTAGCATGGCAGTGACATCCCCACAAGCAGCATCTCCAAACTGCACACAAAATGTACTTGAGTTATACACAACATTGTCTCTCGGTTCTTAAAACAACACTGCAGTGTCTGTGTAATTCTTCTTCTACATGTTTTTAATTCCAAATGTTCTTAAACAGTGGATGAAAAACTATATCTTTATGATGTTATTTCTTTCTTTTTCAGTAACTATGAGGTGAAATGCATAATATTAATAAGGTTGGTTTCATTAAGCTTTTCTCTCACTACAGTTAAATGTCAAAAAGTACTGCCCTTTTTAAAAGATCACTGCAACAAGAAAAAGGTATTTCTAAATGCATTTTGCCCCTTTAGTCATGTAACATCTTAGAATCAAAAGGAACAGTTAAAAAGATGCAAAGAAACTCAAATGTCTTGAAAGAAATCTGTAAGATGGTACTGTATGATTAGACCAATATGTATTTCTGTGGTGACTCTAAAAATATTTTGGTTTAAGTGGCCTTTATCCAACAGTCGCTAGAAAGGAAATGGTTAGTGAGGGAGGATGATATGTAACGAATGTCTCCAAGTCAGGATTCATATCTGTCAGCTGTGTCGAAATCCCAACCCTCAAACAGGCCCCAGACCTCAACTTTTCAGCTGTAAAATTTAGAATTGCTTGCACACATATCCTCTGCTCAAGGGAAGCCTTCTTTTCATACCTAAAGGAGACTCTTAGATTTTAAGAGCATGATTCAGTATTCAATAGTTCTTACAGACACACTTTAAACATCCTGCTTACTCAACATTTGGCTCTACATCTTAAAAAACAGTTTCTGCTCTTATTTGAAATTGTTTACAAGAATATTTGATGCTGCCGTTTGACTAATGGTGCTGGACTGAATCTTTTAAAAAAATATGAGAATATGGTTTGGTTTTCAGTGCAATATTTCCCATTTCCTGTTAGATACTAGTTATAACTCCAGACCATTACACATGCCTAGAAAATCTCTTAATTTCCTAAGTATGTTTTCTAAAACATTCATTACTCTCACTTTTAATATTGCTAGTTTATCCTAAGCTGTTTGAAATCCAATCCTGGCTTTGCTTTAAATAATTTCAGCTTTATACGCTTTTTTTTAAAAACTTTTTCTAATAACATGGGACAACAGTGTTTAATGGACATCAGCAAGTTTTTATGCTCAGTTAAAATTCTGTCAATATAATAACCCTAGTTGCTTGAAAATGTAGTTATTTCACTTCGAAAGTATGTGTATTTCCCAAGACACGCAAACAAATACCATCCCCTTCCATTAGGATCCAAAGTACATAGTTTTGTATTCTCACATGTGTTTTCTTAGCCAATGAATTATTTTCATCTGGTATACATCTGTAACAGATGTAACTCAGTAATGCTTCAGCAAATAGACAGTCAGGGTTGGACTTTTTCTGTTCTGCAATGTTTAGAGACAAAACTTTTTAATCTGATTGTAAATAAAAAAAAAAATCCTACCAAAATGAATGTCTTTGCTTTTCTGCTTTGTCAAAAATAAAAATAGATATATGAAGCGCCAGCAAATAATAGGAGATAATCTGTCCTGATAGCTGATCTTAATTACTCACATCAGTCACCTGCCGTTCCCTTCTAATTATCATTCATCTCATTCACCTGCTCCCTCTGCTTTATACAAGGTTCAGCCTAGTTATCGGGGCCAGATCATTGTTTGCTTTCTGTTTGATGCCTGTTAGTTATGGTTTGTTTGATGAGTTTTAGTTTAGTCCCTGGTTCATGTTTCTGTACCCAGAGGCCAGTAGATTGGGGATTAATGTTTGTCGTGTTTCGTGAAAGTGTCCCGGCTCTTCTCCGCGAGCCCTCAGGGATTTGGCTAGGATTGCGGGGGAGGTTAGTTTTAAGTTCCACAAGCCTGACTGCTAGTTAGAGACCAGTTTAAAGTTCCTGCAATTATTCCTGGTACCATGACTTGTCTCTGTCCCTCAACCACTGAGCCTGCCTGTCTGCATACCTGTGTTTCTGTTTGAGCTCATTGCTCAACACATGGAGCTCTGTGGATTCTTGAAACCCTGGATCTGCTCGTTCCTGTGCGGATCGGAACCCCTGACCGGGCTGTGGACTCCCGGATTCCAGACCTGTTCCTGTCTGGTCTGTTTCCCTAAACTGGATCGGGTTCCTGCCTGCTCGCTGAGGTTGCTGCATCTGGGACACTCTCTGGGTGGCTCAGCGCTGCTGCTCATTTCGCAGTCTATTGGCTGGAACCTGCCTTCCACGGAGAGGATGGACTGAACTGTTTAACCAGGTAAGTGACTCACACAGATAATCATCCGTCAGATGATCATGGTCACTTGCCTGTGTTTAAAAAATAAATAAAAAAAATGGGACCTTCTGGTTATTAATAAAACCAGAAGGTATTAATAAAAAAAACAGATATTAATAAAATGTAAACATGCATAGTTTCTGGAAATAACAAGGCTGATTTTAGGAAAAGCCAGTGCTGCACCTCAGTGCTGTAGCTGGAAATCTCCCCATCAACTAGAAATTACATGAAAAGGACAGTTACTGTTATAGCCTCAATTTAAATCTATTGTTTAGCTAAAGAAAACTTAGAATCTTTTTTCACATGTGGATGATGAAGAAAACATTTATTTCCCTCAAAATATACACACAATGAAGGTACAGTTGGGTTACTATTAGCCTGTACCAATTAAACATTATGTCACTGCTACAGCCTCCTGGATTACTGAAGCTGACAATATCCATTCGCTTATGACAACAGTGTACTATCTTCAGATACTTCAAGCTGGATAATGAGCCCCGTCATAAAGTGGGAATAATCTCAGACTGGTTTCTAGAGCATGATTATGAGATAAGTGTACTAAAATGGCCTTCACAATCCCCAGATCTCAACCCAATAGAGCACCGCTGAGATGTGAATATGCAGGCGACAAATCTGCAGCATCTGTGTGATGCTATCACATTGATATGGACCAAACTCTCTAAGGAATCTTTCTAGTACCTTGATGGAATACCTGAAGGATTAAGGTGTTTCTGAAGGCAAAAGGCGGAACCAAGCAGGTACTAACAAGGTGTACCTGATAAATAACTACTCTGAAAGTAAATGTAAGTAAGTGTATGTAAATTTGAGTTCACAGTATAAATTCTTTACTCATAAGCACAGTTTGCCTGAGGTAGATTGCCTGAGGATTGTGTCTCTGGAACTGCACCAAAGCATAGCTAAATGTGTGGGCAGCTGTTCAGTCAGGAGAGAGCTGTGCAATGCTGCTCCATGGAGACCTAAACAAAGCCTCATTGATGAAGGCCTTTTTCTCTTTTCCTCACATCATTCTCAGGAGAGAACTGCAACGTCACATGGGGTGAAACTGTAGCACATACCCCCGCTCAACCCGAGCTTGGATATTTTTCGAGCAACGTATATGTAATACGGTGCTCTTCTTGACTCACCGCAGCGGAGACTCTGTTCCAAAAGGAGCGAACAGGGTTTTTCACACATTCATTCCATTCAGGACAACCAGTAGTGAGGGTTTCTACAACAAAAACCAAGATATAGTTAGTTTTTTCAGTTCTGTTTCTATATTGCATTTGCAATATAATCACAATTTAACAAAACACATTTTTCAAATTAGAGAGGTACTCTATTTTAGTCATATTACATTTACCAAAAAAAAAAAAAATCAAAAACAAATAACAGTAAGTAGCTAAATGTCTCCTTACAGCCCTTTAGGTGGCAGGAATATGCTTAAAGTGGATTTGCAACCACACAAATGGGTAGAGAGAGATGAAGCTATAGCTCACCTCAAAGATTTATGACTGCAAAAAGAACTTAGCACTTTTTCACACAAAGATTACAGGTAACTCTTGCAACAATGGACACTGGACAAGAAAACTTTCAAGCTAATGAAAAGTCCTAAATCCTTTAGTAAATCATTAACATGATTGTTGTAAGTGCAAAGGAAAATCAAAATACAATAACTGTTTTCAATGTTGGCTAAATCGTTCAGCCCTAATGTGAATAGGATAAATGTATATATCCCTTTTGCAGACATAACTACACAGAGGGCTTTACACTTCTTTAGGGCTTTATACCATCACCCAGGCAGTCACACTTATAAATCAATACTAAGATTGGTAAGCAACTTGGGATTAACTAGCATTCCCAGAGGTACACTGACATGAAGTAGAGTTAAACTAATATCTGATTAAAAGACTATTACTCATTTTAGATGTTCCACATTTATACTTTTTTAAAATAAACATAAAAAGAGGTGAATATTTGGGTCACAAAAGTTTTGAAATTCCATGTTAAATAAGTCATAATTTGCAGTGGGGCACCGCCCTCCCTTTTAAGAAGAGAGAAACGTAAAATATATTTTTAGAAATTAACTCATAAATATCAGTTTTACTCTCTAGAGTGTGTACCTATAAGCAAAACAGATTATATAAACTACATTTC